CCAAATTGTTTTCTTAAACAATACTTGCTTTGAACAAGTTGTTTAAAATAATAAGGTTGATAATTTTGGGAACAGACCTTCTATTTTTAAGTCTCTGGACAGGCTTATTTCTGTAAAGATAAACCTCTTCTCATACAGCAAAGAGATGGGAGAAACTTCTGGTAGGAGTGCAGTTTTGGTCTGGAATAAGTGAGTTCCCTATCAGGGAGCAAGTGAACACTTGCCCCATCCCAGAGCATCCCCTGGGGAATTGGAGGCCTGCAAACACCAGGATATTCTCCCCAGCCCCAGTGCAGGAATATCTCCTGAGTCTGCAGGCAGCCTCTCAGCTACTCTCCCCACACTGCAACAGCATTTAGTGATCAGTGCTCTCCTGGTGTGGCAGCACTCAGCAGCCTCTCCCTTCTCCTCCGGTCCCACTGCAGTGGAGGCACCCCATGGACTGCACCCCTTTACTGCTCCTGCCTCAGCCCATCCCTGCTGCCCTCCTGTCCATCCACCTGCTGTCTCTTCTCTGGGAGCAACCAGGACTGACTCCTCCAAGCTGGACAGATGTCCACTCTTTGAGCAGCACATCAGACTTTGGTAGAACTGACTGCTGACTGAGTTCACATGTGTGACCCAAACCAGAGCCCCTGTAGCAATTCTGCCTACATTGCATCCTGGTGCAGTGCGTTTTCCAGCACATCCRTGGCTCAGGACTGTGTGGATGGGCTGTGATCCTGGTTCTCTTCTYCATCACTGGTGGGTCTATGGGTGGCCACCCATAGAGACCCTCTACTCTGCCCTAGAAGCGGAGATCAGCACCTTTTGTGAGGCACATGCAACGATGCCAGGAGGGCTTCTACCTGCGCAGCCTGTACCACGTGCTGCTGCTGCTGCTGCCGGRGAGCTCCTCYGGGCAGGTGGAGAGCTGGCAGCACCTGCAGAGCCTGGCCCACTGCCAGTCCAGCTCAGCCAGCCCTGACGTGGCCAGCAGCTACGTAGACTGGCTGGTCTCCTACCTGCAGCACCTGAGCACGCTGAAGGAGAGGTTTGATGCCAGGGTAGTGGTCCCTCTCTGTGAGAACTTATACATGCACGAGGAGCCAGCTGCCTGCCCCACCCRGCGGTCCCTGCTGGCATCCATCTCTCACCTGGCTGCCCAGCTCTTTGCCCATCGGTGTAACTGGGGGCTGCTGCTGCAGGGGGGCACCCTCAGCGAGAGGGTCTTTGGCCCCCAGAGCTTGTGAGACCTGCATGGCTTTGCTGATGTGGGGCCTTTTGTGAAGTCCTTGAGGCTGGTCCCTGATATCTTCCATCAGAACTTGGCCACAGCAGATCTTGCCCAGAGGTGGGTCTCTTTACACCGCAACAGCTACAGCCTGTCCCTGCCGCCATCAGCATCACTGCCACTGCAGCCAGCAGCAAGGGGCAGAGCAGGGCTGGCTCCCAGCACTGTACAGCCCTGGCCATGCAGCAGGGCCCCACAGCGGCCCAGCTCTSCCCTGGGCTGGCTCCCAGCACTGTACAGCCCTGGCCATGYRGCAGGGCCCCWCAGCGGCCCAGCTCTSCCCTGGGCTGGCTCCCAGCACTGTACAGCCCTGGCCATGCAGCAGGGCCCCACAGCGGCCCAGCTCTSCCCTGGGCTGGCTCCCAGCACTGTACAGCCCTGGCCATGYRGCAGGGCCCCWCAGCGGCCCAGCTCTSCCCTGGGCTGGCTCCCAGCACTGTACAGCCCTGGCCATGCAGCAGGGCCCCACAGCGGCCCAGCTCTGCCCTGGGCTGGCTCCCAGCACTGTACAGCCCTGGCCATGTGGCAGGGCCCCTCAGTGGCCCAGCTCTGCCCTGGTCCCACTGCAGCCCTTCGGCACAGGGAGCAGCGCTGAGGTGCTGCGAGCTCAGCTGCAGGAGGACCAGGAGAAGCTGCTGGCCCTGCTGCAGYGCAGGGAGCGGGTGGCTGCCCTGCGCACCCAGCTCTGGCACGCTGCCCGGCACATCTGCCTCCTGCACCTGCAGCAGAGCTCCGGTGGGGCTGTGGGGGCTCGCCGGCGTGAGGCAGCCCTGGCCAAGGAGAGGCAGAAGAGCCTGGAGCTAGAGGAGTACCACCACAGCATCCTGGAGGCCGACTGGCTGCTGGAGCTGGAGGTTAGGTTCATCCTGACCCAGAGGATTGATGCGGTAAGGAGGCCCCTGGTCTGCATACCAGGGTGAGTGGGGCACTGCTGCCGTCCAGGATGTTCCATGGGAATGGCTGGATGTGAGGTGGAGATGTGAATCTTGCGGGACTGGGTAGTGCTGTAATCAAACCAATGGCCTGCTGGGCAGCCATGGGCATTCTGATACGAGGAAGGAGGGATGTGGAGTAGGGAATGGGAGAGAGAGTGTTTMATAACATGGCAGAGCAGCTTGTGGGTCGTGAATACTCCCATCCAGCCCAACTGGATGCCCAAGAGATAGGCACCCACACTGCTTCCTCTCCTACAGGTTCAGCAGCGCTGCCAGGCCTTGGAGAGGGTACTGGGAGGCCAGGCACTGCCTGTCCCGCAGTGCACCCAGCTCAGAAACAGGATGGCCACCACCTGTGTATCTGGACAGGCTCAGCCCTCTGCCTCCTGCCCCATCAGCAGCCAGTGACTGACCATGGGCCGTGGGCCTCCCACCTGCTCCCAGCACCCGGGAGAGCATGAATGGAGGACACCCAACCCATCACCGTGGGCCGCAGGCAGCCAGCAACTCACAGGGACCTGGCTCAGTTCCTACCCAGGAAGAAAGCATGGAAAGAATGTGTTTAATGAGAAGTTTCGTCTGTGCTCAGCCCATGGTCCTGCCATTCCGTGTGTGGCTMCAGACTGCGCAAGATGGGCACTGAGTGCTGCAGAGCATGCAGGCACAAGCATGCACATGTATATGGATGCAAGCAGGCAGGAGAATGCAATCCTGATAAAACATGGGGCTCATCTTCCTGCTCGCAGCAGCCAGTGTGGAGGCTGAGTCCACAGCAACCAGTCTGCTTGATGATGGTGATGGAAAGCCCACCTCCATGCTGGTGGTGGGTAACAAGTACTCCAGCTGGGGCTTGCTACCTTGACGGCTGTTTTGGGCAAGAAAGTTTTGTGTTGGGGAATTTGAATCAATTTCATTTATTGCCATTGGTAACAAAACCGCAAGTGTAGRGCCAGAGGCACAGGTCCTGTGAAAAGTTTATTGGTGTAGCTGTTTTCACTACAATCAGAGGAGTTACAATGCACAGAAACAACAGGCCTCCTACRCTACACAGGGAGGACAGGACACACATGGCCACAGACACACAGAGACACTCGTCTCTCCGCCCTGGGCCCTGCGGGGAGCCAGGCTGTGGGCAGGAACCTGCTGTGGGGGAGGCTTCTTTCTTCTGATGGGATATTTCTGCAGCCTCCTGAGAAAGGCATTGGACCCTCCCAGTAATGAAGCACCCACCATCTCTCACAAGAGCCAGGCTGGTAAATGGGAATGGGGGCAGGATCTTCTCCCAAATCAAATGGTGAAGCAAGCATCCCAGCTTCCTCTGGAAGACCAGTCCAGCTCTGACCATCAGGCAGAGACTGGGGTGCCTTTCTCTTCTGGCACTACCCTTGGAGTTTCCAGGGGCAGCAAGGGCACCATCAGTTTCTGGGCCAGCTCTAAGCAAAGGCTGCCTGCTCAGGGAAATCCCAGGGAATAGCTCTGCCAGATGGAAAAGTGTGATGCACAGCAAGTCCCACCTGAACATGAGGAAGAACTTCACTGTGAGAGTGACTAGCACAAGGAACAGGCTGCCCAGAGAGGTTGTGGAGTCTCCCTTACTGGAGATATTGCAGAACTGTCTGGATGCAATCCTATGCCATGTGCTCTGGGATGACTCTGCTTGGGCAGGGAGGCTGGATCAGATGGCCCACTGTGGTTTCTTCCAACCCAACCCATTCTGTGATTCTATGCAACTGCCCAAATGTGATGGGGGCTGAGTGCTGGGCACCCTGCATGCTGCTCCTTCCTGCTTGGAGGGCACTGCTGGATTGAAAGGTGATCTCAATCAGGCAGCAAAATTGGGGCMAGGGTTTCAGTGACTTCCTTGTAGGCTTGCAGGGAGCCAGATTCAGTGCATCACTGCACAGGTAATGGGAGGGGACCCAAAGGACTGTTTTGTGCTCCAGCACTACATTTCTTGTAAAGCCTCTTAAATATGGTTTATTCTCAGGGGCAGAAATGTGGGGTTCAGGAACTGGGATACAGCCCTGCAATGAGTGTTTACCCCTGCAACCTTTCTGGAGGTGCAAAATGGCAGAGGACTCCGCTCAGCTCCTGCAAGAGGGCAAGCATGCAAGGCTTCAGGATACCTGCTTGTCTCCAGCCTCCCCTCCCTGTGCAGTCTGCAGTTTGGAAATAAGGTTGGGAAAATTAAAAAGAACCAAAGAGCCTCTTCCAAGGGCTGAAAGAACTGAAAACAGTCAYGTGGGAAGCTGATTGGACAGAAGATGATCTGAAAGACAGGGCCAGGGTGCTTCTCTTTGCCTGTCTGCCAGGCTTCAGCAGCCTCAAGGGCCAGTAGCTGTGGCAGAGGCCCAGTGTGAACACTCCTAGAAGGGGGTAGAGGGAGCAGGAGCAAGGCATCTGCCAGCTGAGTAAGGAAATTGCTGACCTGGGAGAAGAGGCAGCTTCCAGCCCATTCCTGTGAGTGCTCAGTGTCACGAGTGACCCAAGCTTCATGGTAGTGGAGGGGAATGCAGTGGCACCAGCTGGCTCCCCTTCACCACCTGGAGACCAGGCACAGGCTGCCTCCAGCAGGGAGGGGACAGACCCCTGACCCATGGGCACTCTGGATCCACACAGCTTTGGGATGTGAGAGGTACCTCTCAGCCCACCAGATCCAAGAGGAGAGAGACTCACAGCCTCTGCTGAGAGAGCAATGGGGCAGCCAGAGCCAGGGCTGCATCCTGCAGGGCTATGGAACAGCCATTCATCGGTCCAGGCAAGAGATGGTGTGACTCATGGCAAGTCTCCAGTTCGTCCTTGGGAGGGGTGAGCAGGCCTGAGCCGCCTGTCCCGTGAGTGGGGAGGGCAGCTCCCAGCTCACACAGGCATGTGCAGCTCGTTGTACTCGTCCCGGCCATCCTCGTCGAAATTTGGCTCTGCATCCTCCGAGTCCAACTGGGAAGAGGCAGAGACCAGCTATGAAGGCCACAGCCRCCCCAGTGTGGGGTCAAGCCTGGCACAGAGGGATCAGCACATAGCAACCCAGGCAGCTCTTGCTCCTTCCCCTCCCAACAGGCTCCTTCTTTAAACCCTCATGCCCGTCCATCCGTCCCCAGCCTGATGCCCTTTCTAATGACTGGGGTTTTGGTCCAGCACTGCAGTTCCTCCCTCTCCCCTGCTGGCAGCACTAACTTCTGGGTGCTGCTCCAGGCTCTTCTCCAACAAAAGCTCAGGATGTTGACAGCAGCAGAGGAGCTGCCAGCTCTTGAAGAGTTGCCAGCACCCTGGCACTGTGGTTACATGCTTAAGTGCCAACAGCCACAGGCTCAGATGTGCTGCTGGGCTGTTCTTGCTGCTGGTTCAGTGGGGAATTGGGATGTTTCTTGATGAATGAGCCACAAGATAGACAGGGAAATCCTTACTCCAGGCCTCTGCCTGGTAGGAACCCCTGTTTCCTTGCCCCAGGCTGCCCATCAATCTCTTACTGCACTCCCAGGGCTACAAGATCCAAGGAAGTTATCCACCCACTTAYTGCTGTTGAGCAAAGACCCTCAAGGCTTTGCTGGCCCATGATCTCCCAGCCTTTCAGGCTGCCAAATCTCCTCAATCTCATTGCAGTGTTGCAAGCTAGACTGTAAGGACAGCTGTCTGCTCACCGCTTTGAGCTCCCTGTCRTGGAAGAAGCGAGGCAGCACAAAGCGTCGCAATGGCACTGTCATGATCAGGACAAAGGGGAAGGCCAGCGATGCCACCGTAGATTTCACCACCCAGAGCAGAACAATGCAGGCCAGCTGAATGCAGGTGAAGAGATTCATTCTCCAGGTCTTCACCTAGTAGGTAAACCCAGTCTAAGAACACACCATCTTTCCACACAGATTAACAAAGACCCAGCTGGGTCAGGCAGACTATGCAGCAGGTACTCTGCTCTACTGTGCTATGCAGAAGGGTTTTGTTTCGCCAGCTGGCGAAACAAAACCCTTCTGCATAGCACAGTAGAGCAGAGTACCTGCTGCATAGTCTGCCTGCCTTTACAGTGAGGTAGAACTCCATAACCTACCAGCCTCTGTGCCACCTAGCAGTGCAGTGTCCTCCAGCCCTCAAGCAGCACATCACTCCTATAAATCATCTGCCTATCCATTTAATCCTGGCAACACACTCCTGGGGTGCAGCCTGCCAGCACTGCACCATCTCTGTGCATGCCTTGCACTTACTTCTTGGCACAAAYTTGCAGCCAAGCAGGGTCACCATGCCAAGCATCCCTTTAGCAAAATACCATCCTGCCCTCACCTGCTTCTTCTTCCTCTTCTCCTCATTACCTGGTTCTGTTCAACCTGCCTTTGCTCACCTTGACAACGTAGATGTGGTCAGGGTGGTGCTTGGAGGGCATGAAGATCAGGAGCAGCCGCTCGTAGAGCTGGATGCCAGTGAGCGATGTAACCCCCATGTAGAGGAAGATGCCGAAGAGCACAGCCAGCGGGATCTGCCGCAGCATGTTCCCCATCACAATGGACAGACCTGCACAGACAGAGCTCAGGGCATGTGTCCCACACCAACCCCCACAAGGCACCTCAGCCTCTGTCCCTGTCCTGCCTCCTCTGTCCTGGGGTGCAAGGGAAAGGAAGCTCAAAATGGATAGGTGTGGGCAGTCCCRCAGTGAGCAGGCAGAGCATGGGCTGGCCCATGAGACAGGGACACTGCCAGGAGATTCAAGTGCTTGGTCCTGACATCTGCCCTCCCTCACTCCCTGAGCAGAGGCTCACCAACAAGGGCAGCAATGAGCACTCCGGTCACACGCTGCTCCTTCACCTCCTCGATCCTGGGCTTCTCTCCGGGTGCAATGGCCTTGCTCATGACGGTCAGGGCGTTGACATGGGTGACAGAGCGCACTGTCGCTGCCGTCAGCCAGGGCAGCCCGAAAAGAGCACAAAGCCCCCCCATAGTGCCAATGAGCAGAAGGTCCAGGTGAAAGCCAGAGCCTTTCAGCAACTTCCTCTCCTTCTTGCTAACAATCAGCCTGAAAAAAATAGAGCCTAGCTCAGTGCAAGGCCCAGGTCAGTGTGCAGGAGCAGCACTGCAGCTGGGGACAACATTCATTCTCTGGGGATGACACACATGGGGATAACAARATGGCTGAGGACAGGGATGGTGGCTGTCAGCCTCAGTTTAGAACTTTCCTCCTGTGCTTGGATGAGGCAGGTCTCCACCATACCATATGCCAAGAGTGGAGCCCAAAGATGATGGGAGAAGCCAAGTTATAGCCTGAAACGGCCAGGATCCTGCTCCTGCTGTTCCTCTGGGATGTCTGTTGCATGTCATGTGAACCAGCACGCATCCTGGCCTTGCCTGTCTAAGGATTAGCAATGGCTGAAGTTGAAGAGGGATATATACTCACGTAGTGATCTGCGTCTCCATGAAGATAAGAATGAAGACCAGGAGGGCAGGGATGGCAGAGGCAAACATCATCCACAGAGGAAAGGTCCCACTACTGCCCATGGGGTGGATGAACCAGCCACGCTTGTGAGGGGATGTGACCGACAGGCCGGAGGGGACATTCAGCTTCTGGTGGTGTAGTTGCAAAACCCAGCAGTTACTCATTAATACAAACATGCCCACAGCCTCACACAGCTTTGATCCTCCTGCTCTCCCTGGTTTGAATGCCTCAGATAACGGGATAAGCCACCCTGAACTGAGCAGAACTTTCTCACGGATAATCCCCTCCAGTGAAAAAAAATCCCATGTTCCCTAACATGGGCCTGTGTCATTTCCTTTCAGCTACTTAAATTCCCTTTGTTTTTTTTCAAGARACCAAGAAAGTATCTTCCCTCAGAAACCACACCCCCATGTCAGTCCTTGCAGGCCATGGTTAAAGTGCTCCTTGATCTCTGCTTGGACAAATTAAGTGTTTTGAACTACCTACCATTTTCTGAGGTGACTTTCCAAGGCTTTTCTGAGGCATTTTACAGCATTGTTTTTGCAGTGCGAACCCCAGAAGTGGCTGTATTCTCTGGAAATGACCTCACCCCGACCATGTTCAGAGGGAATATCATGTTTGTGCTCCCATCAGACCACACRGACTCCTAGCTGTACATCATCCTGACCCTGCGTTCATCAGCATTTGAACCCTTGGCTCTGTGCTGCTCTACAGCAATTTCTGCTATCTGCACTGCAGGCAGAGTTTATGATTTGCATTTATGTTAATCAGTGTAAGTATGAATAATATTTCTGGAATGTTTGTCCCTGAGTTAAGCTGTGTAACCAAGCACCATTTTCTCAGAAAGCTTTGTACATATGCTGAGTTAATGCTAAAATGATAATGCTTCTGATATTAACTACAGAAGTGTAGAAGGGTATGAAAAGAATGTAACAAAGTGCATGATTTTACTAACGTCTGATAGACTGAAATTTTTCATTGAAATTCAAATGAATAAAAATGCATTTGGATTCTACCAAGCCTTGGGCTGTTTTGATAAAAAGCTTGCATGATGAACAGGAATTATTTTTTACCCTCTCCCCAATCTTCACCAAAAAGAAAACCAACCAAGAATATATAACATATATGGACATACTGAAAAAGGAGAAAAAATTAAACCTGTGAGATAGGTCTGTTTGATAACAGTAAGTTATCAAACTTAATGTTAAGTTTGTGCATAAACTGGAAAAAAATTGTGTTTGAAATAAAGTGATCAAAATATTAGTATTCTACAGTCAAGGACAGAATAAGTATGTTGAGTACTAAATTCATGACAAACACCCCATTGAAACCAATCTATGTGCCTCCTTCTTCAGTTTCTAACATAAACTGTTCATGTCCTGATGACTGACTGCAAGTGTTTAGAGTAACAAACAAGGAATGAACTGCACTGAATCTGCCTAAAGTTCCAAAGCCTCCCTGCTAACAGCTGGGAGACCAGAGGGATACCAGGGCACTCCAGTCCCTGTAGCTTTAGCCTCAACCTCAGCAAGATCCTTGGAGCTTCCCTTCAGTGTGGGAGTGAGGATGAGGGGAATGTTTRTCTTTGCTTTGTGCTGTTATGACTAAAGAGGCAGGAAATACAAATTCCCCATTGCACAAGTGCAGGCCAGTGCCACAGGGATCACTGATGGGCTGCAGGAGAGGCCAATGCTGGCACCTACCTGTGTGTATGTGTCAGTGATAGTGTAATCCACCAGCACCATGACCAGGATGGAGATGGGGATCCCAAAGTCTCCAATGATCCGCCGCGCCTGCAGAACACAGACCTGTCACTGGCAAAGGGAACAGGCCAGCTCCATGCACGCATCCTGCTACAGGGAGCCTATGGCAAAGAGAACACCCACATGGGGCCAAGCACCACTCCAAACCYGAGCACCTGACCCATGGGGCTGTGCTTCCCACTGCCCACATAAAATGCTCTTAAACGACTGGCTAATTGCTCCTGCTGATCTGTTCAGTGCTCCAGGTATAACACAGATGCCCTGCATGTAGAGAGATGCCYGAAGAGAACCAGTTGTAAGCTCTTCTTCCTATATTCTAGTATAACAGACTTATATCCACTCCAAGGAGCTTCCCCAAGGTCCAGAGGAGTTTCCATCAAGGCTCACTGGAGCAGGACAGTGCAGACACCATCCATAGTCAGCTCTTGCCTGTACCCTAGGGTGGGCTACCATTCCTCCTGCAAGGTATTTAAAGGATTTCTGGTGTCTCTTTCAGGGACATCCAAATGTTCTGGAGAATAAAGGTCTGTAGGAAGAAGCATTATTTTTTTGGTGTGTCCTGTGTCCTTAACGTGTGAATCCCACAAACTTCTCACCTTTCCTCCCAAGAATCGGCTGTTCTTGAACTTGCGCATAAAGAAGGCAATGAAGAAAGTGCCTAGCATGAGGATGAGGGAGAGCAGAGCAGTGTTGGGCTGCATCCTGGTTCCCAGGGACATCGCATCTGTAGACAGCACACTGGCATTCAGGCTGCTCTGCACGTCTGGTGGGTAGAACTTCAGCAAAGGATGTTCTGCAAACACCTGAACAGGTGAGAGAAGCAGCAGGCAAGTTACCACGAGGAGGGACAGGGGGCAYTGTCACTACTGGGGGCAGGGGGAAGCGGAGGTGTCCTGCTCTGTGGAGAGGTGAGGGCAATAGATGGTGGGCACGGACAATCCCAGCATCCGTCACCTCGCCTCGCAACCTACCCAGCTGGAGAGGGCTGGGGAGAGAAAAGTGGCCCCTCTTTAATGTCTCCTGCAGGAAGAGAAGGGGAGAGAGACATTAGGGCTCTTCCTGCCACCCTCTGTGGTGGCACAGGAGCCAGCTGGGCTGAGGCATGAGACCAGCAAAGAACTGCTCTGCAGAATGTCTAGGAAAGCTGTGGCTGAGCTGGCCCCGTTCCCTTGCTTCCTGTGTGCTAAAGCAGCAGGTTCCTGAGGGATTAAGAGATATAACAGCCCCTCTCCCCAAGGAAGGTTCACCTTGTACAGTTTGTAGAAGGTCTCATAGATAAAGATGAGGGAGATGAGGAAAGCAAAGATCTCCTGGGTGAAGGGCGAGATATAGCGCACCAAGAAGCTTCCTTCAGCTGCCACGATAATGAAGATGAAGACGATGAGCCACAAACCAATCCACACTCTGCCTGTCAGATACTCAATGCCTTGTGTCTGGCAGAACTGAAATGGAAAGGGGAAGGAGTTACTCATGGCTCCTCAGGCTGTCTCCTGCATCTGCTCTCCACTAAGATCAAAGACTGTCCTGGAAAAAAGCGTCTACATCTGCTAGGGCATCYGGCACACAATCAGTGAATTCATGGCTCGAGTCACAGGTAAATTTGCAGACTTTGCATTAACACCTGAGAGCTCACACCAAGCAGGTTTTTACTGCTCCAGTTTTTGTAACAGCACCTCCTTCATGCTCTGCTGAAGCCAGCTTGTGCATAACACTCCCCATCCCACCCATATGGAGGTGCTGTTGCTCAAACACAGCATTCCATTGCTCCATGCACTCAACAGCACAAGCCTGGTCCCTACAAAGGAGAGCCCGAGCATCCTGCTATGCTTCACTGCATAAAGGCCACGATCTCAGACAAAACCCTGCTACAGACAGTTGTATGTGTGTGGAGAAAAGCCCCCAGGCTGTCACCACAGAGGAGACYATCTCCACTGCCTCTGCTCATCCACACACACCAACAATTTCCAGCACAAATCGCACCCCTCCCTTTGCAGCCTCCCTTGGTACCACCACAGGCAGAGGTACACCTCTGTACACAGTGACTGGGCAAAGCAAGAGCGGTCAGTGAGTAGTGCAGTCACAGGAGAGCAGAGAAATTCCCACTCTGCAATGGCATCACCAGCTCCGAACTCTTGACAAGGTGAAAATCTAGCTGTAGAAAAAAACATGCTTTTTAAAGACACAGACATGYGGGGATTCAGAGAAAAGGAGAAGGATAAGATCCACTGCTTGAAGGTACAGTGATACAGGGATGCTTTCAAGAGCAAAGAGGTCATGCTTGAGAAAGAAACATATCCATCCTGGCTGGCAGGGACACCTCTGCACACATCCTCAGGCTCATCCTTACAGGTGGGAGTAATGTACAGGGTACATCCCAAATAGGTGGTGCACTGAACATTACTGGGCTCCCATAAAAGGGAAGCTGGACATAGGTAAAAGTGGTAAAATGGTTTTCAAAGGAAGCCCCCAAAACAARAAAGTTTTAGGATGCAGCTACAAATGCTCATTATGCCAATGATGCAGCCCTGGGCTGGGRGACAGTGCTCTCCTCACAGTCAGCAGGGAGAGGAGTGCTGTTATCAGTGTCACACCTCAAGGGATAATGAATACAGCAACAGGAGGCAGAAGTCCCTGTAGCGGGACCTGGAAAGGGTCAGCAGAGCCAGGGGCAGCCCTGGTCGAACTGAGAGCAGCCTGGAAGGACCCAAAGAKTTCACACTAACAAAGACCCTTTGCAGAGCTGAGAAATGCCAGCTGCCCTCTCCAGAGCAAGGACAGAGTGAGCAGGTGCCAAGCATAGACACTGCCTCACATGTACCTTGTAAAAAGCTTCTTCAAACACCAGCAGAGGCCCTGAGAAGCCAATGACCAGAAGTGGCTGGGCTCCAAGCAGGGAGAAGAGGATCCCTAAAACCGAGGTGGAGATTATCAGCTCGGAGACCCCCATGAGACCCTCAGTTTTCTCTCCTGGGAAAGAGAACAATGTATGAGTGTTATAGCCTGGACACAGGCACCATCACCACAGACAGGCAGGCTGCACAGCTCCAGACAGAGGAGGCAGGGCCCCATCCCATCAGTCAGAGGCGCCCTGTGTTAGGTAGGGAGCATGGAGGGAGCGCGGAGGGAGCCCGGGCAGCCAAGGCTGGAGAAGCCAAATGGCAGGGAGGGAACAAGGCAGCAGCCAAGGCACAGCACTACCACTCTCCCTGAGTGAACAGCACCAAAGCCCACCCCAGAACAGCATCACACAGACACAGCCAGTGTCCCAGAGTGCAAAGAGCAGACCAGAAAGCAGGCCCATTACCTAGGAGTCCCCCGAAGGTGATGGCAGGAGAGAGAGCAGCAAAGTAGATGAAGAGAACGGCTGCGAGACACTGGCTGTGCAAGGCGTCTCTGATGTCACTGAGGTATTTGGGGTACCTGCGCTTTATGTCCCGAACTAGACCTCCAAAAAATATCCCAGTTCGCTTCAAAGGGTCGTCCTCAGCTTCCTCCTCTTCTTCCTCAGCTTTCACTTCACACAGCTCTGGAGGTGCACAGAGGGCAGGGCTTCAGCAAAGAACACAACTGACTCTTGGGCCCCCAATACCTCACAGAGACTTTCCTCCAGCAGCACTAGACTGGTGGGTCCCCTGAGACAACACATTCCACTGCCTCAGCTGTCCCCTGCTGCCAGAGCTGCCCACAGCCATTGTCCTGCTCCACTTGGCCCCCTCCCCACTCCCCACTGCAGGAGTGAGGCCCTGCTCACCCCTCTTCCAGGCTCTGAGAGGGGAGGGCTCATTTGGGTACACAGAGCACTAGGAACAAATGCCCAAATATGAATGRAGAGACCTTTGGCTTCCTGAGCAGTCCCCTCCTTCATGGACTTCTGCTCCCTCTCCTTCCTCTTCTTCAGCAGCAACTTCTGGAAGGTGGCAATGGATTTGAGCAAGTCTTTTCCCTCCACCTCTGATGGGGGGATGACAATGCTGCAGTCCAAGAACTCGTTGATTGCATTGAGAAGGTCTTGACGATCATCTGCCATGTATGCAGCCTCATGGAAGTGCTGGGAGGGGCAGGGAAAAAGAGAGGAAAAAGGCTCAGACCAGGACTAGATCCAGCTAGCTACAGCCAGGAAAGATAATGCTCGTTGTGACCTTTAGAGTGACATTCTGCTCCCCCATCCACTACTCATCTCACTACTGCCACTCTGTGACCCACACTCCTGAATCCCACCTCCTGTTTTGAGGGAGAAGCTGGTAGAGCCCTAAGGCACCACAGTTATAAAGCACAAGAACCACGACCTGAGCAGGGAGCATAAGAGACTCCTGGCAGTCTCCACATGGGAGACAGAGAGAAAATAGGAGTCTACAGCATGAGGGAAGCCATGCAAAGGAAACTAGGCAGAAAAGGGGAGATATTTCTGACAGCAAGGTCAGGTTAATAAGGAAGGACTCTAAGGAGACCTGGAGGGGACAAAATTACTGCAGATGGGCAGGGAGGTGCTGGCAAACAGGTGGAAGTGCTGCACTGCCTCTRGAACATGCCGACAGAGAAAAGGCTGGAGGATGATGAACGAGCCTGTAAAGCAGGTAGGGGACAGCTAAGGTCCCTGCAGCACACAGACTCCCTGGAGCCACAGCTTCAATGTAAATGATACTGTACTCTCTCCATGGCGCCAGGACTGTGTAACCTTGCTATGGCCAGCCCCGACTGCAGCAGCTGCTTGTGCTCTTCCAGCAAGAGGAGCAGAGACTCAATTGAATGAGGTCAGCCCATAAACACAGCGCTGAAGCTGGAATGGCACCTCACCTYTGCCAGCTAGAAACACATTCTCAGTTGAGCCCTGCACAACTCCAGGGCAATCTTGTTGCCTCTACAGCACTTTTTTTGATYGAGCCTTTTAGACTCCAGTTCAGTGAAAGTTGTGCAATAGTTACAGGACAGGACTGTTTACAGTTACATGGCACCAGCAGGAAGGACCTGTGAACCTCTGATCCTCTTGTGCTAGATGTGTGCAGCAGATGTTCAAATGCTGATGCTTTCCTTTGTGTTTAATTCCTTATCAAGATAATGAATTTCACTGCAATCTAGACAGATGGGGGACTTCCACCAGTGCACACGCTTGGCAGAAAAACCTTCCTGCCTCCTCATCTCTCCTCCCGTATGGATGTGCTCCTCTGCATGAATGCCCCAGCCATGGGATTCAGCTTCATCCAAACACCTGAAAACAGTCCCAGGCATTGCTGGGCTTTTATGTCAGTGTGGTCTGGGCCAGGCAGGTGCCATGGTCATAAGCATCGCTCAGCCACCCCACCTTTCTGTGAAATGTCGACTGAACATTACTCCTCTGACCTTGGGACATCCTTTGCTCCTGCTTTTACATGTGGCCCCTTTCTTCACCCATCCTGTTGTACTCTGTCCCAGCCAAGCAAGTGTCTGTCTTACCTTCCCYTGCACTGGAGGATTCTACCTTGGTTGAGCCAGACTGATTTTAAAAATCCCAGGTGTTCACACCTGCCTACCCCACCTGAGCATTTGCACAGCATCTCTCAGTGCTCTCGTCTCAGAACTGTCCTCTAAGGAGCCAGCAAAACTCCCTCACCTGTGTCAGCCTCACGGCCCATCAGTTCCTCACCTTGTCAGACATGAGAGTGGAGATGGAGCGGCCAATTTCRTGGTAGTCCATGTTGGCCTGGCTGGGTCCCAGCAATACAAAGATGAATCTGACGGGAATTGGGACCTCCAAGACAGATTCCAGGAAGACAGCCTCATTTAGTCGGACGAAGGCCATGGTTGGCTGCTCCAGAAACTGCACACAACCTACCAGGAGGCAATGTTGGGAGCAGAATTAATCATTGGGGTGAGCTGTACTGGGATGCCTTTAACAGTAGAGACTGGGATTTTGGATGTTCCCAAAAGCCCTGAAGTTGTGTACTTTCTCCAGACCACAGACACAGCACTGAACTTCACACTGAGGACCGCTCCAAGTCCTTCACTGATCATTCACAAGCAGTGCTATTTTCTTTAGCGTCCCATTCTTAATCCCTTAYAGATGAGCTCTACTTACACTATAAGGGACTAAGTTTAAAACACTAAGGAGCTAAGTTTAAATCCCACTTATGGAAGGAAGAACTCTTACATGTTACTTTTACCAAACAAGCTTCAAATCTCATCAAAGAATGAAATCAGGTTTGCTTGACATGACCTATTTCCCATAAACCTTACTGCTTGGCAATAATTAYTTTAATATTCTTTAGCTCTTTATTAATTGAATCTGGTATTAACCCTGCCACTATGTTGGCCAGAAGGATGTCAGGTTAAACAACCTATAGGTACTGGCTCACTGTTCTTCCYTCCTTGAGCACTGATGCTATGAGCTTTTTCTGTTATCTTGTATGTTYTCTGTATTCTTAAACTTTCTTTTCAGAGACAAGTAAGTCAGTGCTCTAAAGACTCATAGGTGCAAATTGCACATTTTGTTTTACAATGTCTGCATCTCATCAGTGCTTGGCAGTCTCATCAGTTCGTGACAGATTGGGAAGTACTCCCGCATCCTCCGGCACACCAGCCGCTTCCTTCACATACCGAACACAAATGTTTATTGAATACTGGTATTTCTCTGGCATTATTACTGATCTATCTGCCATCTGTGTCCAGCAAAGAGCTCTGTGTTCTGTGTTAGGCTGGCAAATCTGGGCCATCTGAGAGTCGAAGCGAATCCCAAGACACAGCCTTAGCTCAGAAACAAGCCAATGTTTAGTTATCTGAGTACTCAAAAGTGCGTTTATGAACCTGATTTGGCCTCTTCGTGATCAAGCATCAGTTTGGTTGAGCTGCCAAGCCTCTTTGCCTGAGCTTTTAATCTACTGGATAGACAATGACATTTACTTTGCTCATAGTGTAGCTGGGTGTGCTGAGATGTTAATGCCAGTGAAGTGCTGAGAAGGAATACTCTTGCAATCACAAGGCACCAACTGCACTGATGTTCAAGCCTGCCTGCTCACAGCCCTCCTGCACAGAGAAATACTGGCAGCGCTATGGCAAAGAGACCTTGCCACCAGCCAGGCCCTGCTTCTGTCAACTCAAAGCTTGCTGGCACACACAGCCAGCAGCTAACGCTGGTCAGGGACAGGGCCCAGCTGCTGGTGGAGTGTGAAGAGGCCAGACAGAAGGCAGCAAGGGACAGAGGGCAGGGTGATAGCCTGCCCATCAGACCCTCAGGCACCACTCACCTACTGAGCTGCAAAAACCAGACATTCTGTGAGCCTGGCAGGACTTTCACCACTAAGTCAGGCCCCAGCTCCCTGCAGCAGTGCAGCAGTGTCTATCAACCTCTTTTTTAATTTAGGAGAACTACCCTGGGGAGCCATATATTTGCCACAGACAAACAGAACATGCACATCACCAAAGGAGGGAGTGTGCCAGGCTCCCTCTCCAGCTGAACATACACGAAATGACCAAATATCCCTCAGGAGTGAGGACAGACAGCTGGGGCCAGACCAGGATCTGTGYTAGTCACTGGGGGACTCTACATGCCACCTCTTACCCACAAGGACCACTGTGGCCTCTGCATCTTCAGGGATCTTCTCCATCAGCTTCAGGTATTTACGGTGGCCCTCAGAGTTATGGAGATGWGGGTTTTTCTGCCAGGAAAAAATACAAGTAAGTAAGGATGAAGCCCCCACACTTTGGTCTCCCTATACCACCTGGCACCCCACTGGCCTAACTGCAGCACGGCTTGCCTTGGATGCACACCCAACACCTGCTACACAGCAAGGCACCCTCACAGCAAAGGTCACCCTGCAAGCRCCAGGGCTGCTGCTGCCATTACATGCTCAAGCAGACATCTGCATACAGTGCAAAGCCAAAATTAGGTTCCAAAATCATAATGCAGAGACCTGCTTTCCAGCGATCCAGGGACCAGTCCCTGCATTACAAGGTTTCCCCATGAAGGGGAACAGAGGTTGGTGCCAAGGACTGCAGTCAGCCAAGAGTTGTCCCTGGAGTGTGGAAAAAGATGCAGCAACCCCCCAGATCAGCCTCACCTCCTTGCACTCGGTCTCGCTGGCCTTGGGGTCAGCCATCTCAATGCGTTCTTCCCCCATGAGAGGCACGCAAGTGTCTATGGTGTGGTTGTGGTGGTGGTTTCCCACGATGGAGTTCATGCTGGAGCTGGAGTGGTTTCTTGGGAAGAAGCCCTCTTTCTCATCATTGGGGTGGCTGAGGGGGAGAGTGGTGGCCATGAGGGGACTTGCCTCCCTTGCCACCTGGGGCTCACAGATAACGCCCGAGCCCCCTCATCCACGTGCCACCCACCTGTGCTTCAGCAGCAGGGCACGCAGCACGTTGGCTCGGTCTTCTGCTCTGATCTGGTCAGAGATGATCATGGTCTCCACCATGAGGTGAGCAATGCCAGGCAGAGTGGTCTGCTCCAAGTCAAGGAGGACAGCACCTGCCAGCACGAGGGGAAGAGCCCTGCTCCTAGAGTGCAACACTCCCCACTGTGTTCACACTCTGGGGACACAGCTGTCCCACTAGGAGCCAGGCTTTGGTTGGGGTACAGAGTCAGCTGAGAAATGCCCAAGTCCAGGTGCCCCATGTCCTTTCTGCAAACCCCTGTCCCAAGAAAACCCAAAAGCTCAAAGATGCAGTGGTAGCACTGGTATCATCTTTCACTGCAGTCTTCCACCCTGACCAAACTCGCCTTTCCACACCAAAGATGGGTACAAGAGCGACTGACCAAGGCACAGCTCAGTGTTGCAGCTGCCCTGTTCCTGAGACCAGTGAAGTAGAGCATGGAACCAACACAGGCACCCTTGGGCTAATGCAAACCCTGCCAAGMAGGCTGCAGGATATCTGTCCCCACAAACCCAACACGAAGCTTGGACACAGACACTGCTTTGCGCCTCCAGTGAGGGGCCTGACAGCAGCAGAAGCTGTCCAGCAAAACCTGTCCTAAAGCAAGAGACAAACCCTGGTCTGCTCTTCCTGACTCACCGTGGGCAATAGTCTTCCTGAGCTCCAACAGACTGCGAAAGGACAGTGAAGCCACATGGGGTTTCCCCCACCTTGCTGTATCCTCCTCCACATCCTCCTCAAACTTGATCCAGCGGGCYGTCTCCCTCCAGTGCATCTCCTGGTTCTTATCCACCACCAGCTCATTCAGCTCCACAAACACCTAATGTGGATTACAGCAAGGACATGAGATACACACAGCCCTCCCAGCAGCACACAGAAAGCCTCAGTTCACTTCTCAAGACACCGCCTGGTCTGACGTGCTGCTGGAACGAACCTGCCGTATTTTAACCAAAGGCTTACTGCACAGAAGCAGCCAGGATAAATATCACTGGCAGTGTGGCAGCAGCTCCAAGCCACATGGTGTGGGCAGATGGGAGAGAACGGTGCGATGCCACATCCCTTTCTATCCAACTATTGCAATTCTGTCCTCTGCCTTCTTGGTCTCCCCCTAAATTTCCCCCACTTTCCAGAGATGGTGATGTTACTGTGCTGCCAACTTCAACAACAGCATCACTATTTCRGTGACTTTTTAATGTCTTTCCTAAGGTCAAACCTTTGTGATTTCAGGCAAATCTCCACTTTTATTGGAAAAAGTGTATTTCCAGCTCTCATGATAATGGATAATAGCTTGAAGAGTCACCCTCAAGGTCATGTAAAGAATTAATTATATTGATACACATTTATCACTTTATAAATTGCGTGTTTCCAGTCCTGATTTATGGCTTCTTAACAAGTGTGGGAGGACAGCACATGGATACCTCATGGGGCTTTCTATCCAACTTCTTCTTCTTCTTCTTTTTCTTGACAGATGGAGTTGATGCTAATTTTTTGCTGGTCCTAGTGATCTGACTCCGAGATGGTTTTTTCATCAGATGCCTCCTCACACCTGGGTTATCTTCAAAGCGGTGGCCTGAAGACATAGAAAGGAAAAAAGGCCACCCATTTGTCTAGTGGATACACACTGTCTGTTAGGGAGACACATCCAAGCACATCCTTCTCTAATTAACTTAGGCTACCAAAGCACTGGCAGCTGGAGAACTCACATCATCCTCCAGACCTTTTAAGATCYTTGCTGCCTCATCTGCCTGCTTTCATCTCTTCCACATAGCTGTGAGCTAACCTCTTCAGGAAGAAGGCTTCCTCTTAGGCTGTGCATACACTGGGGCTTCATTGCCAAAGCGTTTATTCGTGGTACCCAAACAAGTGGGAATCCTCCCCATACTCCCCCAACAAAAAACAACCTGCAGCCTTGCCTGCACAGCTCTGCACCCACACAGCACAGGCAGGCACCTGGCTGGGCCTCACCTCTTGCACCGGAGGAGGGCCTGGTGCTCAGCAAGCATAAAGGGCAATGAAAGGGAAGGACATTTAGCTGCTGGTCTGGGAGACATAAGGAAATATCAATGTCTGTTTTATTTAATTGTGCGATGAGACTGTAGGATAACACTGCAGCCTGAGGCTGGTTTGGAGGCTGGGCAGTGAAGCTGAGCTATTGCTGCTTCTYGATGTTCCGCAGTGCCACTGTAATGCCCTCGGAAAGGTCTGCATTAGAGACTGGCTGGCTGAGGCAAAGCCTCAAAGCCTCAGGAGAGACTGTCAAGGGTGCTCTACAGACCCATCACCAGGGCTGTTGGCTAGCCAGTGCCCACCAAAATTCAGCCACAACTGCGCCAGCCTGTTGCAATGCCAGAGAAATAGAATCTGGGCAAMAGCCTGCAATGGAGAATTTTCCTGGACACTACCCAGAGACARTAAGTGCATCTTTCTCAGCATGGACAACCCATAGGAATGTGGGAAGCCTCAGATCATAGTTCTAGGAGGGGCAGGCTTGCCCAGCTAGATYATGGAGTCGGGGCTTTTGCTCAGCTTTGTTCCACTGAGATTTGCTGGCCCTGCTTGTAGGACAATGCCAAGGTCTTCCTAGCCCAGCAAAGGCAGCTCTCTATTGGCTGGGGTGAATGTTCTGTCTGCACACATCTTTCTGCACTTAGCTACAGGACCTGCAGCTCTCAGGGTATGACAAACAGTAAAAAGCACAGGGTTTGGAGTCTGAGTGGTCTCTTTCATGTTGCAGAAAAATATCTGTACATGTCTGGCATGGAAAGACACACCCAGCATCAGGCYAGGCATACCACGGCCTTACACCTTGGAAATCTGGGTCGCTAAATTAAATATAAAATGAATCAATACTGAGCCTCAGGGCATTTTCCCCCATTGGTTGCCCTGCTGATGCACGTCCTGCTGATGGCGGGACTCCTCCCTGCTCCACTTACTGCACTGCAATGTCGATAGGAGCCAATAACTGCCCAATAATCACCAGGAATGTTTCTGGGAGCCGGGCACGTGTGGGGCTTCCRTGGAGTTTCACATGGATTTCTCAGTTCCTGCATGCACAGTGCCGCTTCATCACACTCAGTATGAGCTCATGCATAAAACAAGCAGTCCGCCAGGCAGATGATCTTGGTATCTGGCACCTTTGCTCCAATCCCTGCAGCTTCTGATTCTCCTATGCACCCTGGGACTCTTTCTCACCATGTCCCTGGAAAACCAGGGCCAGAGTACACTCTGCCAGCAAAAGAGAGCACAGCAAGCTTTCCCCATGGTGATTACAACTTATCAGACAGTGCTCCTCAACAACAGMCCTAGAAAGCATTCACAAGTGTCCAGTATTAGCCAGAAAATGGCTGGAGGACAAATAAAATACAAGGAGCCACATTTCCTGACAGCATCTCCAGTGACTCCCACACTCAGGGACAGGAGCCACAGTGCTGCAGGATCAGAGCTCATCAGTGAAGGCACACCTCCAGAGGCCTACAGAAAATTAAGGAGAGATCCACTTTGCTGCTCTATCTTGGCAGTGTTTGTGGCCTTTGAGATGCCAGCTGGAGGATACAACTCAGAAGCAGAATGAGAACCTGGTCCTAATTTAGGAGAAAAAMCACTGGCTTTGGGAGTCCCATGCAGAACCCAGCTGAGGGGCTCCAGGCTGCTCTACAGAGACCCTTTCTGTGTCCTGTCTCATTGGTGCTTTCCCCAAATGAAAATCAAGCTCCAGAGAGGAACCTAAATCTGGAGTCCTTGTTCAGGACAGGATCTTGAATTGAGAGCAACACAGTCTGTCCTTCTTGCTTGAAGCCATACTCTCCAGGGAGCACTGCTCTTGCTGTAGCTCCTCTACAGTGCTCCTCAGGATCTGAGTGTGAAGACAGTGACATCAGAGGACAGAGAGTAACTCCAGTTACTCTGTTGTAGTGTAGCACCACTACAACAAACCGCTATCCTACCCTCCCATACTCCCTCCTTTAGTCTCTTCTAGAAGATGATCTTGCCATGTTAGYTCCACAGTCAGATTTCTTTGGATGAACAAGTTCCTTTTCCACCATCTTAAATCTGAATATGACAAATATGACTTTGCACTGGTTAAAGTCTTCTCGACTTTCTGACTTTGCTAGTCAGTCCAACTCAGCAGGCAATTGCCTTCAATTTATGCATTAGCTCCTGCTCCCCTCCTTTCATTTCCCTCAATCCACAGGCAGGAAGACCGGAAAGAGGCATCAGAATATTTGTATCAGTACTAGAGAGCAACCTGCTATCCAGGCAAGAGGAATAGTGTGCCATCAGAGGAATAGTGTACACCACCCATATACCCCAGTGGTTAAGTTACAGCAAGAAAAAAGAGATTTAAAACTAAGACTCTTGAAATATTTAAAAGAAGAGTTAAAACCCTTATTCTTGAAACATTTAAAAAGGCTAAACAAAATGCTAACCAACATACTGTAAGATACAAGCCTACACTGGCTTCTGGAAAAAGCCCTGTCCTGCACACAGCCCCAGTCTCTCCYGGCTGATGCTAAATTCAATGTAATAGGGATAGCTCATCCCTGCTGACAGCCAGTTGTCCAGGCCCAGCACCCGCCATGCTCCAAACACGTAAAAGAGTGCAAGGAGACAAAGGACTCCACGCTGTTCAAAAGCAAATTAATTCYTCCTGGTTTTGAGTAGGTCCTGGAAGAGGCACTGCCATGGAGTGAATAGCTGGGCAAGTGGCACTGTCTGAAAGTGAATTGGCTGTGTACAAAACAGACTATGCTTTCTGACCATGTCTGACTCTGCCATACCTCTCTGCAGGATTAATCCACAATGTGGATTCATTATGCAGGAAYAATTAAGAGCTGACTGTACATTGCACCCGCAGTATTAGCTGTAGCAATCAATGAACGTGTYAACTGCTAGAAAACCCAATTTTCCCACTTTATAAGTGATGCATTATCACACCTTGCAGAGTGATCTGCCTCTTCTGACTTCCCAAGAATAACCATCTTTTCAAGGTGAACTTGGATTTTAATGTACAGCTCACTCAACTTGGGACAGATGATGGGACCTATTTGCTYCAGGTTTCTATTTTGAACTTTGCTCCTATTATATGCTCTATCCACTTACAGCAACAACTAGCAGACTTGTTACTGTAACAGCCAGAAGCCAATCCCCACTTTCTGGTCCCTGCAGAAGCACATAGGCAGATATTTCTTCCCTGAAGGCTTGAAAAGATGGAGTAGATGACAAAGAACATGATACTGAGACTGGGAGGCAGGGCAAATTAACTCTTTTGCCCAAGATCAAACAGAGTCTATGGCAGAGCTAGAAGGTGAACCAAGGCATCCTGAGCTCCTCTTGCAATCACTTTACTTTCCCACTCATGTGCGCTGAGATGTAAAGTGGGCTAGTTCTGGAACATCATCCTCCCATGTGCACTCCTAAAATCCCTTGAAAAATTAACACACGATCGGGATGAGGACTTTTGGACAACCATCCCTGAGCTACAGCTATGAACASTATCACTCCCAAGGTGAGCCACTTTTACCATCAACTACCACTGAAGGACCCCCATGTGAGACAGSAGTGAGGCTCTGGTTTCTATGTGGTCCCCAAGACAGTTCAAAGATCCCTCCACAAGGGATGTGCAGGTATGGAAACTCATGCAGAGAACAGGAAGACATTCCTGACTCTCAGGATTCCTATTCTCTCCTTTTCTGCTTTTCCCATTCTTGCTTCCTTCCTTCCTCTTTTGCTCCTTCCAGGCACCCCAGCCAGCCAGCCACCAGCTAGTTTCACAGTCATGCTCAAGCGTGCAGATACAAACACCAGGTTATTTTTTTCTCTGGGCAATTAGGCTACAGTGCAGAGCTGAGAACCTGATATCCACCTCTGCTGTCAGATCCGCACCTTGACTCAAATTCCAGCAAACAGAGCAGCAGCACACTGTCACCTTGTGCTACAAATGGAAGGGGAAATCTCTTTGTCCTTATACACACCTCGGARCAGCTGCTTTTTCTCTGGCCATGGCACGGGCCGCATCCTGATAAGCACAAACAGCAAGATGCAGCTGCCTCCAGAGCTGCTCGAGTGAGACACACACAGGAAAGCACCTCAGCACTACAACACAGATCGGCACKAAGACCTTGCACACACACACAGGCATCAGGCAGCTTCTCTGGTGCCCCCAGGTACACAGTGGGGCAGACTGTGCTTTCTCTTAACCAGGAGACCAAACTGACACAGACAGGGTACAGACAACAAACACAGCAGGGGGTTAAGGATGTAGCCGGGGGCTCTGATCTACAGCTGCAACCATGGGGTCACTGCCACRGTACTTACAGGTGGGCTCCCCGTCTGGGTAGCCCAGATGCTTTCTGATGACCTCCCATAAATCATAGTCTTCAAACTTGAAGGCAAATTCATCAAAATCTTCATAGCCGAGTGAGTTGCGAATACAGGTGCTTATCACTACCCCTGGGCTGCTGCCCCCTTCCGATTCCTGCGCTGGCTTCTCTCTCTCTTGAAGGGCTGTCATTCTGTCCTTGTGAAGGTCAGGGGTTAGGTGTCATGAACGACACGCCCTCAGATGAGGAGCCAGGATAGCCAGGCAAATCGCCCCCCTGAGGGTCTTCACCATAGCCCTGGGGCCAGCCCCAGAGCCTCGCTCCCCTGCTCACGGGACATGAAGGTGCCGGCTGCAGCAGCCCCGAGGACTGATGAGRTTCCCAGAAAGCTGGCTCCACCCAGGGATGCTTCTGTGGGGGGCTGCCCCACCAGCTCCTCAGGAGCAGGGTCCTCGCTTCGCCGAGGGGTCTTGTGCCAAATGCCCAGGGATGTGGCACCGGTGGCCTGGGGACAGCCAGGCTGATTGTGCAGCACCGCTTCTCTCCCTCACTCCCCTCTGGTGTCTCCCTCCCTCTCCAGCCTGCAGAGCAACCTATTGAATTCTCCATGTCCTCGGGCCCGGAGCGTGCATTTCCATGACGTCTCTTCTCTCTGTCCTCRTGCCACACACAGGGGCAGTCCCCCTCTGAGGCGCTCTGGAGGGGGCAGCTGCCTCTACCAGGAGAGCAGAGGAGAGGGGAGGCTCCTCACCTCAGGTTTTCTGCAATACCAGAGCTGGCGTGTCACACAGAGGGCTGATCGCTGGGAAAGTGTGTCAGGAGATGAGAGAGCTGGGTTCAGGGAAATGCTGGGAGCCCTGAACTRGAGAGGATAGTGGGGTGGGTGGAGGAGCAAGTATCCATGGGGTGGGTGGGAGCAGAGGTGCTGAATATATGAGGATCAGCACTGTGGACAATGCAAAGCTGACAGAGACGAGATAATGCTGAAAAAGAAGGATCTGGGGAACAGGAAGGTGAGGACYAGGTTCTGTGGCAGGCTAAAGGCTAGGGAAGAGCAAGAGAAGCATGGGACAAAGGGACAGGCGCACTGGTAATGCAGGTAGTGGTGTAAAGCCTTACTTTTCATGCCGTCCAGGTCAGCAGAYGCCAGCATCTGAGCCTCAGCCTCATCCGTGGGGACGCGCTGGTACGCTGCACTCTCCATGGTGGTCATGCTGCCGATGCACATCCTCTCCTTCAAGTCATAGGTAACCCGCTGTCCACTYGCCACCTGGCCCCAGGCCTTGCGCTTCTCCCACCCGCGTGACACTCGAGGCCCAGGGGGGCTGTAGGAACCAAAGAGACTCACGGTAGYAAGCAGGGTGAATGAGAATGGGCGGTGGCTCTCAGGGGTCAGCATCCCACAGCCCAGCCCTGAGCAGCAAGTCCCTGAGAAGGAGCAGTCAGGAGACACCTACTGCAAAACCTGAAGACTGCCCCTTCTGCTCCTCTTCTTYCCTACCACAGACTGGGATCAGCTCATGCCCAATGCTGGACCAYGAGGTCACTCACTCACACCTCTGAGTCAATGGCCTCATGGTCCACTCCTGGGGCTTCCTAGCCTGCAGGTCAGCAGGACAGCACGAGTTATACTTGTGCAAGGATACTCCAGGTGTGCAGGCCAGTGCCTCCAAACCTGCACTGTGGGCATGCCATGAACCCAAGGAGGTTGCAGGAGTTCCATGCAGTGACGGTCTGAGAGAGAGCAGACAATTGCTCACAGATGCTCTCCCTACAGGGCCCACGTCCCTTCTGACTCAGCAGGCAAGTTCAGGCTAAGCACAGCCACTGCCCTTGGGGACAGACTCTGTGCAGCGACCTCAAGCCGGAGAGGGCAGCAGAGAGCTTGGCATGGCTCACCCTACCTGTGGAGAGAGGCAGGGCCCTTGTCCTGCAGCAGGTCAGCAAAGCGAGGCATGGGGGACAGGATGCCACACTCCTCCTCCACGTGGAACTGTGTGGGAGCCAGAGCGCTGCTGGACTCCTCCTCATCGCTGCCGACGGTGAACTGCAGAGACAACAGTCCTGACAGCAACAGCAGGGGCAGACAGCCCTCACCCCAATCCTTGGCTCACAGATCCTCCCCACAATGGGCCACAATGACCTCTCCCAYGTGCCCCATTCCCTGGGACTGCTCATACTGAGCACTCCACTATATTATAAACCCTAAGAACAGACACACTGATCTTACCCCATAGGTCTTACACCCCCAAAATGGTCATGCATGCCCATCCCTGGATCCACACCAAGCAATGACTTACCTGTCCCTGTCCTTTGGAAGCCATCTCTGCTAGGCAAGGACAAAAACACTCTTCCCACAACACTGCACAGCTACTTCTTACCCCTGAGCAGCACACTCACAGATACCCTCCKACCACCTCCCCCTGGGCTCCAAGCCCCATCCAGATAGGGATGCCCTGGCCTTGCCTTTGGTTTGCTTGGGGACTCCAGTTTAGGGGATGTGTCCTTCCCACGAGCTTCAGCCTCAGACTCTGCAGAGATTTCTTTCTCCTGGACCTCCTCTGCCTCAGATTCTCCTTCTTCCTCTTCTTCTTCCTCTTCTTCCTCCTCTTCTCCTCCCTCCTCGTCCTCTTCCTGGATGGTGGGGGTGACCTCTGAGGGGGGTATTGAGGTTTTCTTCTTTTTCCTCCTCCTTTTTTTCCTCCTGCTGGCACGGGGTGGCCTCTTTTGGAACTTGAGGGCAGAAGGGAGGTGAGTGGAAAGGGGATGATGGATGTGGTGCGAGGTTTGGCGGTGGACTGAGAGAGAAAAAGAGAATCAGGGGCAGGAAGAGGCTGGGAGGAACCTGCCAGGCGYCCCTCCAGGAAACAGCATGGTCTGAAGATCAAGGGCCAGGAAGGGCAAGGAGAGCCACCAGCCCACAGGGACATAGCAAAGCTCTTTCAGTGATGCGGCAGGCYATGTCCAGCCTGGGGTAGGTGGGGAGACAGCCCTTGTGCAGTGCCAAACCACCCCAATACAGCTCCACTGACCTGGGCAAAGCAGCACTCCTCTCCCTGTGTTGCCAAAGGCCATTTGCATGGCTGTGCAGAGCTGTGGTGATCAGCCAGAGGCAACATCCCCTTCCAAAACATAGAGAAATGTTTCTTGCATTGTCAAACAAAGCATGATTTTGGCCTTTTACAAACTCTCTAGGGACATTACTTAGTGGTTAGGCCATGGCTTAGTGGTGGACTTAGTGTTAGGTTTTCAGTTGGMCTTSATGACTAGGATCTTCCCCCCTAAATGATTCTGGGATTTCTTTTCTACATAATGTTTCTTTGAGTTAAAYAGATGCAGCTTATTTATCCCCCAGGCTTTGACAGAAAGTTCCTCCTACACAACCACAGGAACAACAGTGCAGATGCAACCTAAGTCCACAGCCCAGGTACTTTCAGGGCATGTGTCTACCAGCCTCTGAAATTCAGGTTCAGTTAGGAGGCTGTCTTTTAAAAACCAGGGTAAAGAAACAGGGCAGAAGGACTTTGCTTTAAACTAATCTACAAAGAGAAAATCATAAAGGCTTGACCTGGATGTCATGGGAATTACAGAATGAGAAGAAATTAAGGGCACTTCTGAGCCTTCACTCCAAAAGAAAGGCAATGCACCAAGCAGGAACAGGGTAAGCTCAGCATCCCCCTGTGAGAGAAAGGGGGTTCAGAAAGATTGCTGCCAGGGTTATCTGCAGGCACAAAGCCTCCCACAGAGAGCCTGCAGAATGTAGAAATCCTGGGGCTGCACCCCGAGCTGCTGACATCAGGGGGGCACTAGGCACTTGGCAAGGGGGTGTTGCTCAGCAGCTCTTCCTGAGGAATTGTTTCCAATCTGTTTTGATTTGGTTCCTTCCCAGCTTTCCTGTGACATGGCAGCTAAATCTGTTTATAGTGAAAACTACCTTCAAAGGACATTTTCAATGTAAGCTGCAACCTTCTCCCTGGGAGAGCCAGGCAGGTTCATTGTTCTGCTGTCATGTTTCCTTTCCTTTGGTTTCTCAAGTCTTTTCTCCCTTGTTTCCCCCCTTGGGAATAGCAGGGATATTTCACACATCCCCTCATTTCAGAAAAAGCAGCTTGTGGCAAGATTAGAAGAGACTGGGAATGGTCAGACATCTGAAAACTGGAAAGTTTGGGCTCTTTATAAACACTTTTCCCTCTAAAGCGTTCTTTTCTTTGACTTAATTTGGTGTACCCTATTTCACTCAAATTTGGCAGAAAGACCCTTCTGTCCTACTGCTGTACTTCCATAGCACTGCTCTGCCTGCCAYAGATTGGTCAGCATGAATTGCAAATATAAGAAGAAAGGACAACCCCAACTATACACATGCTGCTCCTTCAACAGCACAAAGCTGCCRGTGAGGACATAGCCCATCTTTCCCTTCTGGCTTGTTCACTTCAGCCCAAGACAAAAACATTTATGTTTTGGATCAGAAGGAAACTGAAGCCTTGGGCTGCAAGGAAGGGCACCGAGGGCAGGTGTGTGATCTGGCACAGAAGAGGGGAGCACTGCTCYTCTCTCCACCCCTGCACTCCACCCTCCTCATGTCAACTGGTCACATCTCCACAGAGGAGAGTCTGGAGGTGGGTAAAACACACCCATCCCAAACAGAAAAGGATTCATACATCCCTCTTCTTCCTCCTTGTCCTCCTGTGTGTCCGGTCCCTGCCCTCCCTCCTTGCTCCCYTCTTTGTACTGCCTGCCTGGGTGGAAAGTTAGTGCCAAACTAGGGTCCCAGCTGTTTGATTACACTTCTTGGTGAACTTGATACAAGAAATATGAAAAAGTAATTTGGATAGAGAGCCCAGAAGGAAAAGCCTACATATTAGGAATTTCTGGCTTCAACTAGAGCAGGAAATGTTTCTAAGCCCAGAGAGCATTCACCTSTATGAGCTGGTATGTTATCTTTAAAAGTCTAATGACCTAACAAGATCTTCCATCTTTATGAATATACACTGCATAAAATTTTTGATAAACAGGGTTGATGTAGTCCTAGACAACAGGAATACATCAGGAGCTCAGAGGAAAAGAAGCTTGATTCTGACAAAGGAAAAAGGACTCTTCTATTAAGAAGGAAAAAACCCCAACCCCGAACAGTACGAATCTCTAGCCAAATTTTCAAAAAGCTTCTGCCATGCATGCTCAAGCAGATCATCCATGTCCTCCAAGCCAACCAGCACACCTATGCACACAGGCAGAGCTTCTGAGCAGGTAGGTTCTACTGGCACAGGACAGGAATTCAACCCACAGCAAAGCTATTAGCACCTTGCAGCCATGTGCACGAGTGACTGTGAGCCCGGATGRGAAGTGTTATTTGAATGGAGCCCCTGTGGAGAAATGATACAGGCAAAAAACAGCAGCTTGGGTGCACTACAGTAATAAACCTTCACCAGCAAGCTTTTATAACAGCCATTGGAAATGAGTAGCCAAGCAGAAAACAGCCTGGTGATGTACTTGGGACATAATGTTCCCAAGGTTGTATCTCATCAAAGCCAAGCTGGAAAATAAGCAGTATGTCACTGTGGAGAGCCACAGAATGGCGAAAATGTCCCAATCATTCTACGTATCTGCCACATAAACAGGCTGGACAGGGGCCTCTTAGTACCCTCCACTGCTGTTACTACAGAGTAACATAACCCTCCCACACCAGGCAACAGCTCACAGTCACTCTTGTGGATACATCTTCACTTGAAACCCAAAGATAGTTGGGGCAGACCAGTTGCCTTCATCATGAAAGGGCRCTTGGAGGAATAAATATGCTGCTTGGATGAATTCAGGTGAGATAACTACAGCACTTCAAATTCACACTCCATTTTTATTTTGCAGTTCCTTTCTTTGATTAGATAAGGCCAATGGATTCTTGAGCGCTATTTAGAAATACACAGGCATGTCTAAGTGGAGCCATCTGCTTTCAGACTGGGGAGGACAGCCTGGSTTCTGGTCATACTTGGATGTTTCTTTGCAGCCACATGGAAGTAAAATTGTTTTAAATTGGAAATTTCAACATGGGGAAAGCAGCTGCAGAGGTCTCAGAGACCAGTCTAGGAGGTGAGCACACAGCCTGGGCTGAGCTACGCTGCTGGGTGGGCTGTGCAGTAGATATGCCTGTGGAGACAGAAAAAACAGGGAACAGACTGGAAACAGGCCGTGGGCACTGGTGCTAAACTGTGTGTACATAGCACCTTGGGAACGCTCTGGAGGAAGGAAGTGAATAGCAGGCTAATACAATCTGCAGTCCTGGCACAAGGCTGCAGAACACGTGGGACTGAGCGAGGGCTGGTGGCGAGGGTGGAAGTGGGTACAATGCTTCAAAACCTACATACATTCAAAATCTCTCTCATTGTAGCTGCGACTTTGCTTCTCCAGATTGCTTGATGCTGACTTGCTTATCAGGTCCCCAAATCTCTCGATTGATAAAGTCTTATCCAAGTCCTCATCGTCCTCGGCACCAGGAGAGGCTTTCTCTGCGTGATCTCTGCCCTGCACAGAAACCGCCAGGTAAGAATCAAACACGGCAGACCCCTGAAGCCCTGCGGATCCTCCTGCCCTGCCAAAAGCACTGGCTTGCTAAGGAGTAGCAGGCTCCACATTACAGGCCTAGGGTATAATTGCTCACATAGAGGCATGGCTCTGTTCAAAACCAAGTGCCAGAACAGACCAACAAGCTCCAAGGAAAACTCTGCAGGGATATTTTAGTGGTCCTCCACACCTCTCTTGTGTGGTACGTATCAAGAAACTATGCCAGTGTCTGTCTTTCCTATTAGAGGAAATGCGTAGCTTTTGTCTGGCTGGAATTTCTCTCTCCTCACGTTTAACTGCTGCTCTCTGCTCTTCCCYTTGCCCAGTCTGCCATCTCTCTCATTCTTAGACCTCCTCGCTATTTCCCCTTAGGAAACAGCATCCCTGCTCTGGTGAGCTGCCCTTGGGTCTGTGACCACCCTGTGCCTTCCCACCTCCCCTCCACACACCTAGGGACTCCCTGTTCCCCTTGGATGTTTTCTTCAGGCTTTTCTGCCCATATTCCTCCTGTTTCAGGCAATGGGAACTTCTCTGCCTTTGGCTGGTGGAAATGCCCTGACATGGGCATCACCGGGTGTCCCCTGGCCTTTCTTTCTTTTCCCTGAGCAGATGCAGCTGGTAAAATTTTCCGTCAGTATAGCYGAAATGCCAGCGTGGAGCTGTTGTRGACTCCCGTGTTTCCATGGAAACGGGAGGAGGCCCAACTGTGACAAATCTGTCTGTGCTTAGGCAGAAAGAGGGAGCAAGGCAGCTTTAGCCCAGATATCCTTCTCCTCTCATCCCCCAGCTGTTCCTAGCTGTGGCCTGGGAGCAACTTTGTGGGTGAGACTGCTTCTCCTCCCACCTTTGCACAGGCGTTCTGAGCCCAGCCTAAATGGGGACAGTCTATTTTAAAGCTGCTCAGCTCCTCCTGCCACTTGCATACCCCACCCCATGGCACGTGAAGGCACAGGGACCTCGCAGAGCAATCTCTGGCTTTTTCTGGGTGACARTTTGCCCAGAAACTGTGGGCAGCCTTGGGGCACCTTTTGTGCAGACCTGTCCCCATGACACAGGCTGAGTCTCCTACTGCAGCATGCTGCCAGGGCACCAGTCCCGCTCTCAGCTGGCAGGAGCACGCTCCTGGGAAGAGACAGCCCCGCTGCTGCTGGATTCCCACCTCACCTGCTGCAAGTCGATGAAGACATCTCCTACGGGAGGGGACTCTCCAGCTGCCATTTTGGTTCAGGACCTAAGGGCCTGGGCAAAATATCAACCCTTCTCTTTCACCGGCAGGCACCCAGCAAACCTGGAGAGTGGCATAACCTGTGGAGAGAGGGCAGGACAAGGGAATGTCGTGGGAGACTGCTGGCCACTGCCCTCAAMCCCCTGGCTCCTGATCCAGAGGTCACCTCACCAGCCCTTGGAGAACCTCCCCAGCATCACTAGGAGAGGCCTGTCCCCAGCACTGTGCAGGGGTGAGTGGTCCAGTCTGCGCTGCTTTGGCCACAGACTCCAATGGTCAGGGGTAGATGGGATCCTGTCCTTCTCTGAAAGGTCAGAGGGGCCAACAGAGACAGCACTACATATCGCTCCTGCACGGGATGTGAGAAAGAAAGGCTTCCTGCTCAGCCACCTCTACAGCAGCACATCTGTGCAAAGCTGCCGTGTGACTGACCAACAGGGAAGGAAAACGTCAGACAGATCAAGTGCTGGGAGTACATGCCAGGAACAGGCAGCAGAGTGGTCCTGTGGCACTTCTCTTTAATTGGGCAGATCCCAGAAAAGGCCAGAATGAACCTCAGAGAGAGCTGTGCAGACCACAGAGATAGCACAAAGACAAACAGTTCATCATTCAAACAGGACACACAAGACAACACATGTTACTGACAAAGAGACTGGACCTTCAGGCTGCAGATCTGTGCCCTGGCAGCACCAGCGGGGATAAGGGACACACAGGTCCCTCAGGGCAGCCCAAAGGAAACATCTGCTCAATAAYGAACCACAGGCGAAGAAGGCAACAGGGGTGCCACACTTGACAAGGAGTGGGATACAGACTAACATGGAAACACCTCTTGTCATCAAATCACCTACAGCAGCAGTACAGCCTAGGCAGCATGGGCTGCACCCCAGGAAGAACTGGAGATGGTAAAGAGATTGGCACTGTGAAGATATTGACTTCCAAAAACTTTGGGCACAGGGAGAAGCAAAGTGTCCTCAGCTCACAGCACAAGAAAAGGGACATTCGTTAAAATTACAAGGGTAGAATACAAATGAAGTCAAAACTGGCAAAAGAAAACTTTTTTTTTTTTTCAGTGATGTCATCAAGGAGCAAAAAACTGCAAAGTCAGAGCATAGCTTGGCCATCTCTCTGGTAACAAGTTGTATTCATGACAAAGAAAATTAAGAGAAGTTAAACCCATCTTTCAGAACAAGCTATTTGCCAGCAATGAAAGYTATGGAATAAGACTACAGACTGTGTCCTGGCTATCTGCTGAGGGGTTTCTTACTATATCATCTGATGTACCTAGTATGAGACACTGTTCGAGACAAGTGACTAAAACACTAAAACAGAYTGTCTAAGGATGACACCAGTAAGGCCACTTCATCATCCCTTCTATCTTTGAACATCTCCAGGTCTACAGTCTGCTTAGCCTGCCTACCTGAAGAGCTTATTCAAACCAAAAATCACAGGGTCATCTGTAAGGCAAGTTGTTGAGGAGCTAATCTGACCACTGATGAAGGATGGTCCTTTGGTCCACCTTCCTGATTATCAGGAACAAGGCAAAACTTAATGGAAGAATCCCCTGAAACTCACCTCATTGGACTCCTCAGTAATTTAATCCTCAGTAAGACTCAACAGCTCAAGAGAAATAGGCTGCCAAAACAGACATTTAAACAGCGTATGCAGTGTCCAGGCCATAAGGAGCAAGGCAAAAAAGAATTAAAACACTCAATCCACTCTGTAGATCTTAAGCTGCAATTTTCAATTTCAAACCCTGTTTTCCAATAAAAATAGAGCAAAAGAGTTCCAAGAGATAGCAGAAAAAAATGAGAAAGGTCTGGAAATCATCTGTAAGCAGAGACTGAGTTGCCTTTTAGTAGGAGATATGATAGAAAAGAGGTTAATACATGGCTTTTATTTTCTTCTGCATTTAATGCAAAAAGAGAGTATAATTCTATGAAAACAAACAGCAGCACATTTGGAACTGAAGGCACGGAATATTTTATTCCAGTGGGAAGAACTGGCAGGGGAGCCTCACTTTGCAGGGCCATGGAATCATGGACTGTTAAAGAAAGGATTGGACATTTTTAAGTAACAGAACATTCACAACTACAGACCGCCTGCAAAAAATGTGTTGCAAGCACTGTTATTTAGGGAGTAAAATGATAATGGGGCTTTGGACGGTAGTTCCTGTAGGGAAAGAATCCCCAAAACATACCAAAATGGTAAAGAAAATTTAACAAAAGAAATGCTAATGCTCAGCTTCACCTCTGTGCCACTAAAGGTTTTGTAAGGCCTTTGATGTAAACTAAAAACTGTCAGCAGTGGGGCRAAGCAATGCACTTTGTCTCAGGTCAGGCTCAGGTATGTCTGGAACAAGGCAGAGGCTCCAGGGGCATTTTGTGCTCCAGGAGGGAGGAAACCCACATCTGGAGAACTGCTGGGTGCCACACACTCTGCTGATGTCAGCTTTGCAAGATGTTACACTGAGTTTAAAACTCCAGTCTGATTGCATAAATGAAGTTAAAATGGAGGGAAAATCCAGCGCTTAGTCTGGGAGGGAAAATCCAGCACTTAGTCTTTACCCATCAAAGCAGTGCATTCAGAATTATRCTGAAGCTATCACTCTAATGAGGCTGAACAGCTACCAGCCAGACAGTTGTAGTAGCAGTAAGAGAGCCCTGGGGACTTGCTTTGAAATTTCAGAGGGACTGGGAGATACTCACAGAGTTTGCTCCACTCCCCACCCTGTGAAAGCAGGAAGCAATGTGYGGACACCCCAAACTGGCAGGACTTGGGGCCCAGCTGTCAGAAGGCTCTGCCCTTTTGTGGATGAGAGAGAGGTGAGGATGAGAGGTGTTCTCAAATCCGAACCCTAGCAGCTCTCCCGTTTCTGAAGAATGGAGAGCCCACAGCCTGAAACACTGCTGCTCCCCTTCCATACACTGATGGCTGGCCACGGCCACTAGAGGCCACTTGCCCCTTACTCTGCATCACCTCTGGAGGAAGGCAGGATGGACACCTACGGGATCCTGCCTGGCTTTTCTATCACCCTCAACAGATGGAGTTCAGAGAAGAGAAAAAAAAAAAAATTGCCAGTGGGCCAGAGGGATTGGTTTATAAGGAAAGGTTAGGAGCTAATTTTGTCTAGCACAATATGGGATGACTAAGATGGGGAGGGGACAAACCAGCAGCCTGGAAAGATCTCAAGGGTGTGAAACACAGCAAAAGATTATTCTTTTTGTCAGGCAGCTCTTCATAAAGAGACTTAGGAAAGGGTTAAAATTTTAAATAGAAACTTAAAAGGARTATCAGTGAGAATTCTGCTAATAAGCACCATACTGAAGTACCCAGCCTGCTGGCATYACTGCCTAGTTTGCCAAAGAAGAGCACAAGACAAAAGGGGAAACTAAAAAAACAAACAYCACACCACACCACTAAAGAAAAGCAAATGACTGATACCTTCATCCTACTGTATCTCCTGGTTATGGGGAGTATGTGATTCAGCATTCCCGCTACAAGTAATTTTCAGTAATAGAAGCGTGATGACAGCAGGCCAGATACGAACGGAGGCCAGMAAAATCCACAGCCTGCCAACCTGTGTGCACTCACACATCCCTGCTCTCTCCACAAGCACATCAGTAAACAGAACTGATTCACATAAATCCCCATACCTTGCATTGACCGTCTAGGCTTAACAGATTCTGAAGGAAAAGTGAGCAGGCATGTCCCTGCAATGCTGGCAGCTACAGCATCTCCCACATGTTGCTCACAGGGACTCTAGCGAGGCTTCCCCTCMACCCCAAAGGCTGCTCCCCAGTGCCAGTGCAGGTGCCTCCCTGTTTTGCTGAGAAAAATGCAATCTGGCACATCTTGGAGGGCTGAGGCAAGCAGCTCACACTGCCCCTTTGCAACAAAGATGGGTTGGTAATGCTACAGGCAGGCTGCCCCACAGCCATCAGGTCTCTCATCCATCTCCACAGCTCTTCCCTAATCCCCCGGCCATCAGCTGAGAATAATTTAGCTGTGGAGTGTCTAGACTAGGAGGGGATGTTAAGATAGGGATAAAGCCACAGGGGCAAAGCTGGTTTGAGGACAGGGTAGGRGAAGGGACTCTGGCTGATAGACACAGACGGGAAGAGCTCACAAAGGAGAAGGATTAGAGGCCTTGGAAGATTTTCCTGGGAAGAAATCCTGATGTGCCTGTCCATGGAGGAAAGGAGCAGGAGGGGTGCTGCTACATACATCAAAGCRTTTGGATGCTGCTGTGACACTCACAGCCTCAAAGCCAAACAAAACAGGAGTGGGCTGCGCAGCCCCTACCTCTGTCATGGCCGAGAAACAAACACACACACATACCAGAATGAAAAGGTGACACATAAGACAGTAAACACACAAAGTTTTCTGGCATGAAGGTTTTAACCTGTAGATCTCTCTGCCACATGGCTACGTTGAAATTTGTATTATTAGACAAGTATTTTAGAAGGTTTAAATATTTCATTGAMTCTTACACTCCACTGAACTACCCTGGATAAACCGTCACAGCCATTCACTCCTGAAGCACCGTCTTTTCCATGACTCTCCCTCACAACAGGCCCTTCACAGCACGGTCCACAGATACACGAACGAACATAGGGAACAAAATTCACTCTAGAACGAAGTGCCAGCACCAGACAGTTAGAACGAGCCACCCCTCCACAGGACGCACGGACGGCTCTGACAGACACACGTACAGCCAGGGAAGGAAGGGGACACACACAGGCACCGGGGTCACCGCACCACGTCCGTGCCGTGCCTCGCTAACCCGTACGGTGAAGAGCGCGGGACCGCTCCACGCCGTGCCGCATCCAGCTCGGAGCCCCGCGCTGCGTGCCGTGCCGTGCCGTGCCGTGCCCCGTGCCATGCACCGCCCCGCACCGTGCCATGCCATGCACCATGCCCCGCACCGGCAGCCACCCACACCGCGCCACGCACCGTGCAGCACCGGAGCAACCCGCGCCCCGCAGACGGGGCCGGGGCAGGACAGCCAGGCGGGGCTGCCGCAGCCGGGGCAGCCCAGGGACAACCCACCCCCCCTGCGTACCTCGCAGCGCCGGA